ATGGCTACTTCTGTCTGTGCTAATTTTTTAATTCTTTGATTTTTAACCTTCCTTCCTCTGTCTCGTCCAACTGTATCTATATAGCTTGCTGGTTAGACAATGATTGGAGAAAGATTGTGCTCAAATACCTCAAGTCCATAAGGCCTCCCTCTTTTGCTGATGGATGTGTATAGGTTAGGAATACATTCCAAATTCMGGAAGCATTCAAATTGGCCTTAACTTTTACTTCCCATCAGATCTTCCTGTGTCTTTCTTGTACATGTGTATAGTTCCCATCAGCCAGGGATGTCTACAGAATTTGTCTTGCCCTTCTGCAACTATCTCAATTCCAGGATCTTTCCATTAAATATCTGGCTTGTCTGTTGCCTACCTTTACTGGGACTGCAACCTCTTTGGGTAGAGCTGTGGTTTCTCCTTTTCATTTAGCACCTATTTTGTGATTTTTATTGACAATGTTGCTAACAAATAGTTTTCACTGTCTATTAGATATCAAGGCAGCACAGCTACTGGTACTTAGGGCCAGCCCTACCCTGGTCAGACTTCCCTKTGAATCAAGCCAGGTGGGAGGATATGAAAATAGAATTTCTAGCTAAGAAAGCTGAAGATTCCCTCTGATTCTAACTTGAAGTTCTGCAAACACTTTTCAAAATTTTTATTTGCCCCTGGTTGATTTCCAGAATCTGGAAAGTGTTTGTTTTTGACAATTTCATTCAGTTTTTTCTTTATTTTTGTTGGAGAGGATGTGCTGAATTTTCACTCTGCCCCAGCAGATAGTTCTCTCCTGTTATTATTTCTGTATAAATTTTTTTCTTAAAAGCTTATGTATGTGGTAAAGAAAGAAATTGAAGACWATCTCAGAAGATGGAAAGGTCTCYCATGCTCTTGGATAGGAAGAATTAATATTCTCAAAATARCCATACTACCAAAACTGTTATACAGATTTAATACAATTCCTGTTAAAATCCCAATGACATTCTCCATAGAACTAGGAAAAGCAATCATGAAATGCATTTGAAAAAATAAGAGACCCAGAATAGCCAAAGCAATAATTAGCAAGAAGAGTGAAACAGGAGACATCATAATACCAGACATTAAACTATACTGCAGAGCCATAGTAACAAAAACTGCATGGTATTGTCACCAAAATACATATGTTGACTAATGGTACAAAATAGAAGACACAGAGACAAATCCACATAAATACAGCTATCTCATACTAGACAAAGACACCAAAAATACATTGGAGAAAAGATAGCCTTGTCAAGAAATGGTGCTGGGGAAACTGGAAATTCATATGTAGCAAAATGAAATTAAACCTCTATCTCTCACCCTGCAAAAAATCAGCTCAAGGTGTATCAAAGATGTAGGCACTAGAACAGAGACTCTGTGCCTAATGGAAGAAAAAGTAGGCCCATATCTTCATCATTTTGGCTTAGGACCTGACTTCCTTAACAAGACTCCTAAAGTGTAGGAAGCAAAATGAAGAATCAATAAATGGGATAGATTCAAACAAAAAAGTTTCTTCTCAACAAAGGAAACAATCAATAACATGAAGAGAGAGCCTACAGAATGGGAAAAAATMTTTACCATACACCTCAGATAGAGCACTAATGTCCAGGATATATAAAGAACTCAAAAAACTTAACACCAAAAAAACCAAATAACCCAATCAATAAATGGGCTAAGGAAATGAACAAATATGTCACAGAAGAAGAAATACAATTGATCAACAAACGTGGAAAAATGTTCATCATCTCTAGCAATTAGAGAAATGCAAATCAAAACTAAGATTTCATCTGACTCCAGTCAGAATGGCAATTATCAAGAATACAAGCTATAGTAAGTATTGTTGAGGATGTGGGGGGGAAAGGCACACTCATACATTGCTGGTGGGACTGCAAATTGGTGCAGCCACTATGGAAAGCAGTATGGAGATACCTCAGAAAACTTGGAATGGAACCACCATTTGACCCAGCTATCACACTCCTGGGTTTATACCCAAAGAACTTAAAGTCKGCATACTACATCTCAACCCTCTAAACAGTATATATTTTGGCCCAGAATAACTCTAAAGTTCTTTTGTATTTCCTTTGCTTATTTATTTATTTATTCATTTATTTTTAATTTTTGGTACTGGAAATTGAACTCAGGGGCACTCAACCACTGAGCCACATCCCCAGCCCTATTTTGTATTTTTATTTAGAGACAAGGTCTCACTCAGTTGCTTAGTACCTCGCCTTTTGCTGAGACTGGCTTTGAACACATGATTCTCCTGTCTCAGCCTCCTGAGTTGCTGGGATTACAGGTGTGTGCCACCACACCTGGCTTCCTTTGCATATTTATTATGCTCACTTTCTTTTAGGGTCTTCTGGCCTCAACACTGTGTCCTCATACCTCTGCACAGTTGGCTTTTTCTTGTCATTCTGATTTCTGTAAATATATTACCTTGTCTTAGTCTGTTCAGGCTACTACAACAAAAACATAAGAAAATGGGTGGTTTAAACATCTATTTTTCACAGTTCTATAGGCTAGGGAGTGTAAGATCATAGATGGTTGTCTTCTTGCTGGGTACTTTCATAACAAGAAGGGAGTGGAGAGAACCCTCTGGGTCCATTTTTGAGAACATTCTTCCCATCAAAACCTAACCAAGACCCCATCTTCTAATACTAACTGCTTGGGAGTTAGGATTTCATCACCTGAATCMGGGTTGAGGGATATAAATATTTACCATTGCACATCTCTTCAGTAAGGCTTTCCTTTTCACCAAATCTAATATCACCTTGATCCCTCCAGAATTTTATTACCCTCTTAGGTTCTCCYATAGCACTTACTATCTGGATTATCTTGTGTATTTATCAGTGTTTGTTGGCTGTCTCCTATACTGGAATCAGTTCCATGAGATCAGAGACTTTGCTTATCTCTATAACTATATTCAGAACTSTTCTTGGCAAACAGATAAAAGGTAAATTTTATAATATATATAATTTATATCATATATAATATATATAAAATAGATATTAATTTAAGGCAGATAAGAGAAACCAGAATAAAAATGGACAGGAGACTTGCCATAGGCATAATTAACATCTGAACTGTGACCCCAGAGTCCAGTTAGGGCTGGGAAAAAGATAGAAAAAGAGCTGGATGGAGGAGGCTGACCCTTAGCTGGAAAAATCAAGCTACTGGGCAGAGATGTTTAGAGGTGGTATTTGGGGAGAAAAAGATGCCAGGCCAGGCACATAGAATCATACAACAGTCTACTATTAATGGACAACTCTTCCCTCCACACAAACCCCCAAATCTCCACTCCCAATGTCACCAATACAAATGAAACTGGCTGTCCCAGTTCTTGTGAGTGAGTGTAGGCCCATGCATGCAATGTGAATGCTTGGGACTGAGGGTGGAGGCAGCAGGAACAACCACATGATTCTTCCCATGAGCAGATCTGAGTTTAACTCTCAGCGAGTTGGCTAAGAGAATTCAAGAGAAGCAGCTGGGCAGCCTCTAGTTCAAATACAGCTGTTGTATTTGGCTCACCTATGTTTTTAAAAATGTACCAATATTTAAATATAGGAGGCTTTACATGAACTTTTGATCTTCTGGCATATTTTTTTTAATTTTTTATTTGTTTTAATTACTTATACATGACAGTAGAATGCACTTATATACTTTGATATATCATACATAGATGGGATATAATTTCTCATTTTTCTGAGTGTACATATAGAATCATATTGGTCATATAGTCACATATATACATAAAGTAATAATGTCTGTTTCATTCTTCTRTCTTTCTTATCCCCATATCCCCTGCCTTCCCCTCCTTTCAGTTCCCTCTACCTAATCTAAGGTAACACTATTTTTTTTTTTTTTGCATTACAATTCTTTGACAAATGAGATCTGGCATGCTGGACTCAATTTCCCACATGGCACTATCAGCTGGAGCAGAGTARCAAGCATGGCCTTAGATGGCAGCACTCTCCAGTTGGTCCAAACTGTTGGTGGTAGTCCTTGTTGCTGTTGGTGTATTTAACTGTCATTCCCCCTTTGGGTCATCTGGCTGGACACCATAGCTATTTGAATTTGTGGTGTGTGCCACACTTTTTAATCCACAATGTAAAATTGATGAACTTATCATCAATAAATTTTTTTGTGTTGATAATCTTTGTATAAGTTTACTTACAATATAGAAGCCTTCTAGGGCTTCCTATTGCTTACTAAATGATGGCCATCTCAAAACCAGCAGCAGTCTAACCTATACCTTATATCCAATTATTCTTTTATAAAGGAAATGGAGTTATATCAGATGAGATTTTACCATATGGAACAGCCTRTAAGCTTGGGAGAAACCAAGGAAATAAACAGAAAAGAGAAATTGAGAGTAGGGGATGATTTTGATTCCTTTACCATTGACAGAGATGAGTGAAATGCATAGTCAAGGTACTGGGCTTCCTGGACATCCCTGAAGACAAAAGAGAATTGTAGTCCAAAAAGATAGATTAGCCAACAAACAGAGGAAACTGAAAAAAAATTATCTATAGTTTGTAAATCCATGYGCCTCACACAATACTCCTTTATCAATGAATTTTCATTCTCACCAATCTCTCAYATTTGGATTATAAATTATATTTCAAAATAGGAAATCAACCTGTATGCTAATTCAGTAACTTGGAATTCAAGACAACCCTTCATTTTGAAGAAGTAAACCAGATTATCTACTGTAACTTTTTCATTTTTTTATTTCTTACATACATGACAATAGTGGAATGAATTACATTCATAATTATCCATTCACAGCACAATTTTTCATAACTCTGTACATAAAGTATGTTCATGCCAAATTATGCCATTATACATGAGCTCTCTTATTTTTTTGCATTATAATTATTAATAYACCTTTGTACCACAATTTATCGTATCTYTGTTTATATATAAGGTATACCATAACTTTTTCAAAGTAACCCTCAGTGACAATTCTGGACCAACTCTGGTTCTTACAGGAACATCCAATACTTGGGCAACCCTTTTTTGTACTTCATCCCTGCAAGACTAATGAATTCATGGCTCCTGTATTAAAGAATTCTCAGAAAATCAATAGGTAAGAAATACCCTTATGATACATTGGCCCCTACTCTGATTTTAAAAGTGTAAATCTTTTTCTGTAACTCCAAAAGCTAGGCTAAAACAGAAATATGATAATAATGACTAAAACATTGATTTTTACTATATGCTAGGTGCTGTTCTAAGAGCTTTAGAGATATTAACAAATTGGACTTTTATAATATCCCTATGAACTAAGTGCCATATTACTCAGTTTACAGAGAAAGAAACTAAAACACAAAGGAATTTAAAGACTCTGCCAGGGTCACGAAGCTAGTTAAGTGATAAAACTAGAATTTGAATCCAAAACATTTTTGCCTCAAAACCATGCTCCTAAKCACTGAAGTTCGTTGCCTTAATAAATGCAGTGAATTTCAGGTGTAAATTTTGAGTCATCAAGGGGAGTCAGGATCCCCATTGCTTATCTTGTCCTTCAACTTCCTTAGTGAGGGATTCTAACATCCTCTATGGACTTCTAATTCTTGTCAAATAATGGGGCTGGCATTCAGAAATACTGAATTCCAGGTAGGCACTCCTCCTTAAAGAAAGCCTCATTTTTGTTCTTGTCAGTGACTAACTGCTTTTCTACCATTCATCCAAAAATGACAATGAAAATATTAATATTTTCCATATTTCTCTTGTTTCCTAGGAACATCAACTATATTACATCATGGCTGAGCATCGTAGGGCCGGTTGTTGGGCTCAATCTTCCTCTCAGTTATGCCATAGCAACTTCTCAGGATGAGTCAAATGCCCTTTGACAAGGCAAAAAGAAAAGCCTAGATTTCATGTTTTGCTGTTAGAAAGATTCTGGTGCTTCTCTTGCACTTAGATACATTCCTGCTATCTGGAAAGTTTGTTTTCATCTTTAATGGGCTGAACACTGGTTTGTTCTTTAGTTCTCCAACAATGCACTACCCAGTTGTTTAGGAAGCATTTTACTTTCTTGTAAGTAGCACTCAACCAGCTACAAGTGTAGACAATTTTATAATAGCACTGATATTCTTGAAATAATCATTTATTGCTCAGTCAACAGTGTGTTTTGTTGTTGTTGTTGTTGTTTTGTTTTGTTTTGTTTTTATTCTCTTGGTTTTTGTTTTGTTCTTGTTTTCAGATTTTCCTATTGATTTTACAGATTGTGGCATGAAGAGCATCAAGAGTTTACCTGACCAGCCCTGGTTTTAATGAGATCAAAACTGTGCAATATTACACATTGCCAAGATTTGACATGGAATTTTTTTTCCCCCAGGAAAAAAATGTCTGTGGCAACTCATATTTGATAGACTGAATGTTTAGAAAAAACATGTCAAAGATACAAATCACTGTAAATAACAAAAAATGAATCTAGTTCAGTAATACTATAAATCCTGACATCATTGAGGCACTGACAAGTCATTTTTTTCTGGGCTAAGCACTTCACATTCCTTTTTCTGATATGGAGATTGATGGAGAAATATATTTATGCATTCATTTTAATATAATGTGATGAAAATTAAAGTACAGGATATATATGTTCCTGAAAACTACTTTTATAAACATAATAACCTTTCCTAAATTATTCTCCCATAATCAAATTCAGGAAAAATTAATTATTTCTAATTTATTCAGAGAGAGAGAGGGAGGGAGAGAGAGAGAGGGAGGGAGGGAGAGAGAGAGAGAGAGAGAGAGAGAGAGAGAGAGAGAGAGAGAGAAACAGATTAAAGAAAAAGCACAATATTGGGGGCAGCAGGAGTTGAACTCAGGTGCACTCGGCCAGTGAACCACATCCCCAGCCCTATTTTGTATTTTATTTAGAGACAGGGTCTCACTGAATTGCTTAGCACCTCACTATTGCTGAGGCTGGCTTTGAACTCATGATCCTCCTGCCTCAGCCTCCTGAGCCACTGGGATTATAGGCTTGCACCACTGTACCCAGCCACAATAGTTTATTATAAGTGAAGTAATGTGCTTTAACAAGCAAAGTATGGTATAGATTAGAAGTTTTTTAAGGCTATAGGAAATATTTAAACATTAAATTTTTTACCTATAGTAATAAAACAATATTTATTTTGTCCCTCCAATTCTCAAATCCATAATTGCTCTACTGCAGTAGGGAGCTTTTTGTGCAAATCTCCATATCCCTGAGACTTATTTTCTTCATCTTTTTAAGAAAATAAGCTAACTCGGAGGTTTCTGTGAGAACCACGTAAGATTATTAATGCATGAGAAAATATTGGAAAGTATTATACAAATATTCATYGAGTGTTCACCTTTCTTATAATTAATTGTTATTCACTCAGTTTATAAATAAGTTTTAACAGTAAGATATTAAGATAAACCTTGGGGTTGGGGATGGGTCTCAGTGGTAAAGCACTTGCCTAGCATGTGTGAGACCCTGGGTTCCATCCCCAGCAACACACACACACACAAATACACACATATGCACATGCACACTCACAATGGTACATCATTGTTTGTTTGTTTATTTTTTTAACATTTTTTAGTTGTCAATGGATCTTTATTTTGCTTATTTATATGTGGTGCTGAGGATCAAACCCAGTGCCTCACACATGCTAGGCAATCGCAGCCCCCATTGTCTGTTTTAATTGCTTCTTTTGTTAGGGATTTTTTTTTTTTATTGGTCGTTCATAACATTACATAATTCTTAATACATCATATTACATGGTTTGATTCAAGTGGATTATGAACTCCCGCTTTTACCCCGTATACAAATTGCTGTATCACATCAGTTA